TCTAGAGATAAATTATTTGCCCCTAGTATGTGGATCATCTAAATGGCACACATGCCAGAGACACTAGTGCAGACAGCCAGTAAAAAATTGTGTCAGGTAGGTAGGTCATGGAATAAATGCTCCCATTTTGAAACTGAAACTAGGTCCTCTTTGAAAACTTTGCCAATATTTGTTTTGCAATATTTTCTTTATAGATGAGACTGAAGATTTTGAGCTGTCTATAAATGTTTTCTAAATTAATCCTCTTAGGAAAAAATAATTCCTCCAGTAATGCCAATACAGAAAGGACCACAAAAAACACAGTAGTGAACAAAATTGCAGATGCTGAAGACTTAAACATCATTCAAGTAACCATACCAGGTGTGTATAGTGGCTGGTTTCACATCATAATACTTGTGCTAATATTCTTCCTGATATCTGTTTAGCTTGATAAAGTTTTTTCCTACAGTCAAGCTGGTTTGCTGAAATACAAGTCAAGAAAGAACATAAACTTACCTTTTGTTTTTGCTGAGATGTTAAATATTATCTAATACTAATTCATATCTCATTAGTGGTATCTCTAGAATATTCTTAGTCCAACCACGTGATAGGAACTATCCACATTTTTATGATGCAATAAAATTAAATATTGATTTGCAGTTCTTGGCAACTTCCAGATGTCAGTACTTGAACTGAATTGAATGACCATGCAGGCTGAACTGCTTTGTCTTAACACCAATTACTGCTTTTTCTGTTGCATGCTGTGGCCATCTACTAAATGATCACTTTTGCTTTTACCTTTACATACCATTCTATATTCTGTAAGAAAGTAAATACAATTTATTGGTTTAAATTACTTTACAAAATCATCTCTAGACATCTCTAGATTCATCCCTGGGAGTGTTCAGGGCCAGGTTGAATGGGGCTTGGGGCAACCTCGTCTAGTGGAAGGTGTCCCTGCCCATGGCAGGGGTTTGGAACTGGATGTTCTTTAAAATTTCTTCCAAACCAAACCATTCTAGGATTCTGTAATTTCTTAGCAACCATCTGTTTTTGTGTAGTTCTACAATTCTGTGTTACTTCTATAATGAGGAATGAAGACAGTGCTTGTTAATAAGCTCTTGGGTATACCTGCTTTGAGTAAACATTCAGGGATAAACAAGCTTCAGGGGGGGAAATTTGTGCTTAATTCTTATTCTAACAATTTCTTCCAGGTGATGAAAGTGAGCGACTGCCAAAAGTAGAAAGTACCAGGCAATTGAGAGAGCAAGTAAATGATCTTTTTAGCAAGAAATTTGGTAATTGCTTCTTACTCTCCATTTTTATATAGGTGTGAGTGCAATTAATGTTGTTCATCCTGAAGTTACTGAATGAATATTCACTCACAGTGAATTATATATATGGTCATTAAAATGAACAAATGTGAGGATTGTATATGAATGTTGTGCTTTGACTCCAAAAATAATGTTTTGTAAGTGATGTAGGCAGTTTGATGTTTTAAACCATGTCCTAAGAGTCCAGATTGCTTCATGGTTCTCCTTCCCTTTTCCTGTTTTCTCTGTCAACATGTATGAAGTATTTATTTTGGTGGCAGCTCCATGGTTCTTCTCAGGGCTTCTTAATCCTGACTTCTTAATACTTGGGATTAGAGTAATTTTAAAAATGCAATTTAACCTTTTTGCTGTGTATAGTTTTGTTTTGGTTTTTTTTTTTCCCTTTGCATTGTACTGTAGTAACGGCCTGGGTTTCCTTGTCTGAAATTCCTTCACTTGTGCTGCATTGAATTGCTTTTCATAGCATTGCAGGAAACACTTTGTTTTCCTTCTATCTCTTTTTTTTAAAAAATCTCTTTTATCCTGTTTTCCAAGAGCAGAATCTGTGTTCTTCATATGCTGAACTGTCAGAGTTGGGAGTTGTGACTAATGCTCTCATAGTAATGTTCTTGAGTGTAATCCAGAACCTCATTTCTAACACTGTAATCATGTCATTGTCCAGTGAATTTTCATAGTTTCAGATCTGATAGAAAACTTGAAAGCTTGAAAGTTTGAATTTTGTTTCTTAATCATTTTTCTTCAGCGTAATCATAAATGCTGTAGGTTTGAAAATAAACATGATCTCTCTCACTTAGGTGAAGCCACTGGTATGAATTTTCCTGTGAAAGTTCCCTACAGAAAAATCACTAACAACCCTGGCTGTGTGTTGGTGGATGGAATGCCTCCAGGTGTGGCATTTAAAGCACCCAGTTATCTGGAAATCAACTCAATGAAGAAGATTTTGGAATCAGCAGAGTCTATCAAGTTTACTGTCGTTAGGTATGTAGCTGCCATTGATTAGATTGTGAGTGCAGCCTCATAGCTGGAATAAATGTGAGAGAATAGAAGTTTAGTACGTCTTTAAATAGGTGTTGGCTCTTTTTGGATAACAATATATCAGGTCAAATGAAGCCCAGCTGTTCCTAGCATGAATGAAGGAGGACATGTCCAATTCAGTATGACAAAAGGCAAATTACTAATATTGCATATTACAGCAAGATGTCTTTTGAGTTGAAATCTAATCATAATGTCTAAAAAAGTCCTATAGTTTTCTGGACCTTGCTCTCCCAGACATAATATCAAGTTTTGAGACAAGTCCAGAGCTCATTCGTTTCTATTCAATATTTTAAAATGCAATATTGTCCAATTACAATGTAAGGGAATTTCATTTGTATGTGTATATCTCCATAGACTATACACACATACACATATCCAATGTTAATTTGTATGCATGAAGCAGAACAGATCAAACTTGGGAATCATTCTAAGGAGGAAGTGAAAATAAAAATGGATCAGTTTCTGTAACTTCTAAAATCCTAGATGACTTCACAGGAGTTTAAAACTTTCAGTTTATCTTTAGAGAGAGGAATTTCTTAAGCAGATTTTACTAAGGGGTCTGAATTCTCGACCTCAGTCATGACATACTCTAACCAAAAGGACTTTCATGTGTTTTTTAATTGAACCCTGAAGAAAAGGTGACCCCTTGCTAAGTAGCAGTGACTGAGGGAAGGGTTTAGCTCTTCCCATATATGTTACTTTTCAAAATGCTGGTTTTGAAGAACCAAAGCGTCCAAGAGCTGCTAGTCCTTCTGTTTTACTTGACTTTATTTTCATTTTTTTAGCATGACCTGTGTTATAGAAAGTATGGGGGGTTACATTGGGAGGAAATGCCATGCAGTGCATTTTAGAATCAGGTTGTCTTCTTTTTTCCAGACCGTTTCCAGGACTTGTGATTAACAATTGTAAGTATTTATGAGTCACTGATGACAAATTTTTATTTTATTTTTGTAACCTACCAAGATTCATTTTCTACATTGTGTCATAGTGGCAGAGGCCCCAGGTTGTTAAGGTCTCTGTAACTCTTGCCTATGTATTTCTCATTAAGATTTCCTGACTAAACATGTATGTACTGTTAACTTGAGGGCAGGGAGATAAATTTACATTTAAGCAGCATAAAATTAACATTGACTTGATATGAAAATGCAAGACTCTGATTTTGTATTTTTCAGCTACAGAGTCCCAGAGAAATTTAGGATCCTGATTGAGCAACACACATGAGAGTTCTTACAATGTAGATTTAAATCCACCACAGTAGCAGTTAATAAGCAAGAGCTTTCCAGTAGCTGCATAACTATATGTTGTGTTATAACTATAACTATATCTGCTGAAATTATAACTTTTTAGAGAGGCATACTCTAGTTAGCTGAAGTGCTATGGCCAATTTGGCCCTGACAATGAAATTGTTTGGGGTATTGGGAGGGAAAGGTATCATGTTTTGGTGCTAAATAATTGTGACCTGGTTGTTAGATGTAATTTAGGAGAAAAAACAAACGACAAAGACTGTCACTACAGTGCTCCCTGTGTCGTGTTCTTTGTGAGCCAATGTCTGACTAGAAATTCAGAGGCCAAATAATCTGTCACAAATTGGCTTTACCCAGTTTGAGCCATAGCACCCCGGTGTTTGTTGCCACCAGTGTATCCCAGCTTACAAGCTGAGCTCTATGCACTGCAAGTATGAGATGTTCTCAAAAAGATACTGTAGCCAAGAACTCCCACTGACCTGCTCACAGACCTAGGTGCACTTCTGAGGTGGGAGAGATCTCTTTGTAAGGGGGAGCCTTCCAGGCAAGTAAAGGTGTAATAGTATTTCCAGGGAATTCAGCTGGAAATGAAAGAATCCATTGAACTGCTGTCAATTTAACATAAGTTGAACACATAATGTGTGTTGGGATTTGGGGAGCAGATTGGTCATGGACCACATGAGGTTTGGGCATTAGCTGTGTCCACTAATTATGATCAAAATGATCTTATACTGATGGATAGATACCAAGGTGAATGATTGAAAGGCTTTGAGCCAACTGCTTGTGAGTATGATGTTTTATTCTTCATCTGAGGACCACGTGGAAACTTAAGAGGAAATTTTTGGTGCTTGCATGCAAGACAGGGAATGCCTTTCCTGTAACAGAAAGAATTGAACTGCATCTCAATCAGTGTTAGTCCCCTGTTCATGTGACAAGTTTCAAGATTTGCAGTTTCAAAGGTTGTCCTTGTGTTGCATGTGAACCATTTTCATTGTGAAGTAAAGCAATGATTGTGTCTAATCTTAGACCTGCTGGAAGAAGCAGAAGCAGAAGCACCATCAACATCACCAGCAGCAGCCACAGTCCTACCAGGTGATGCAGTGTGACAGTGTCTTTGCAGGGGGGGTGGGGTTTGGAGTTCTGCATCTTATTGGCAGATGTCATTAGCAGTCATGTCCCAGGTACAAGGTGCTCATGATGAGCCATTTCATTTTGAGAAATGGTGTGCAACATTTTAATAGATATAGTGGGAAGTGCCTCTGCTTTCTTCAACCTGTGTCATTGGTGTGTTCCTTGATTGGATTTTTACAGATGATGAGTGAGCTGGAAAGAAAGATTAGTGGGGGGCCATGTGTAAAGGCAGTTCAGTATCCATTTATTAATGTCTGCTTAACTCAAATGTGTGCATGTGCAGCATAGCTGGCACTGGGGTCTGGATGGAATTTCTGCCTGCTGCCAAGCTCTGTAACCCTGCTTGGTTGTGTGTGGGACTGCACACACATCCCCTGTCTTAGTCTGAACAGAGAACTTAGCTTTGGGCTTTGAATTAACTAAGTAAATGTGGTTGAGCAACTTTGCTTTAGTCCAATACAGCTTCTAAATGTTCATATACCTTTTAAAAATATGTACCCTAAGTTGGAGTAGTGTGGGGAAAACTTCTGCAATTGGCTGAATAAATCATTACACAAAGAGTCTGGGAAACTAAGAGAAAACATCTGATAAACATTTTAAGAGTAAGGGACACTTGTATGATGAAAATTCTTATAAAGGAAACTTCTGGTTCTGTGTTTAGGTGTGGAGGTGTGGGAGGGAGGAGATCAGCTGCTCGTGGTCTGTGAGCTTGCTGTAGTCTGTTGGTCCCTAACATCTGCACTATTAAAAGGTTACATGGTTTTCCTAGAACATGTTCATCTATAATCCATGCAGAGATAGCAGAAAACTCAGCATGGAATTAAAGCATACTTCTTGTCCTCTGTTATGCACCTTCCCATTCTCCCCCAAAGTACACATTCTTGCCATCAAAGACAATGATTAGGAGAAGTGGTGGTGACTCTTTCTTTAAGCTGTTCCAAATTTGGTGTATTCTGTGCAAATGCATGTTATGTTGTTCTGTGTCCTGGTGATATGTCTGCCACAGTGAACCATTCTTAGAAGAGAAGGTGTTACATAGTTGAATGTAATAAATGTTTGGGGTTTTTTTATATTTTGTTGTAGACTATAGAAAGCTACACAAATTGATTTCAGACAAAGAGATACGAGTCTGATTGTTAAAGAAAAATGAAGTGCTTTTTTCAGGGAAAACTTTATTTCCATAATCTGATTCATCTTGTTGAAACTATATTCATATTCATTTGACTGTATTTTTTTCATTTAAGAGCCAGGTGAACCAAGCCATATAGAAGTATCTCTAGGAGGTAAGTGATTGTCTTCAGTTCTTATCAACAAAATTTTTACATAATGCTGAACAAAGTTCCATTCTTTTTAAAGTCAGGTCTATCAAAACCAAGCAAGCTCTGTTATTGGTTCCTGGCACATTTCTTCAGTTAAAGTAATATAATATTGTATCATGTGAAAAATACTTAGCAGCAAAAATTACTATTACTATTTAAATAATTTTACAAAAGAGTTCTATGAATTCCTCATGGTTGGTGAGTCATAGGCTCTGAGTGACTGTTCATATCCTGAACATTTACTTATTCAGTGCAGTAGTTTCCACAATTGATGCAAGTGAGTGATTGTCATCATCAGGAGCTCTGAATGCCACATTGGCTTGGGTATACTGTGTTGGGGGCAAGGGAATGGAGTATTGTTGTTCTTCTAGCACTTAAACTCTGGAAAACATCCAGCTTTCCTATGGTCCAAGAATGTACTTGAGTTGTATCCTTTTCAGATAGAATCATTAATTTGGAAAAGCCATCTAAAAGCACCAAGTCTAACTGTTGTGTAGCCGTGGAAAGGGGTTTGAACCCTTTAAGTGTGGCAGAAATAAGATGCACAGCTACATGGTCGTCTTTCATGACAGGAAAGAAAGAGCCAAGTTTATTGAGAAACACAGTTGGTTTTATAGCATGACTGCAACTCCCAGAGTAGAGAAAAGGAGATTGGTTCAGAGAGAAGACACCCCATTGCCAGGGCCTGGGCACACACCACAACAGGGGTTCTATCTTTGTTATTAATTCCTTTTTATTTTGACCAAATGATCACCCTGGGAGAAATTCTCCCTAGCCTTGATCTGGACCAGCTTATCAGCTGGGAACAAAACTAAAAAACTCCAGCCTGGAATATTTTTCAGGCTGTAATTTTCTTACTTTCTCAATATGTGTCCCACACTGTTTCCCCAGTACTGCCCAGCTCACCACTGAAGCATCTCTCCAAGTGCCCCATCCTCATGGCTTTTCAGTGCCTCCAAGAACGGTGACTCCACCACTTCCCTGGGCAGCCTTTGCCAGGGCTTGACAACCCTTCTGGTGCAGAAGTGTTTTCTAGTACATAGGTGTATGTAAGACCAAGGAAGCTGTGGGTTTTGTATCCCCCATGTGTTTTTGCATGTGGTGTCTGTGCATTAGAAATGCTGCATTGACCTGAGAGTTGGGATGTTGTTGTCTGCTGTGTGCTCTGCTCCTGGCAGTGCTGCCTTTGCTCTACCCCATCCTGTCAGCACAGCCCTGGATGGCCACAGCTGGCTCTGCCGTGGTTCCAAGGTGATCCAAGGTGCTCTGGTAATTTGCTGGGGTGCTGCCTTCGTGTCAGGTGGTCCCCAGAAGGGTTTGCTGATGTGTCTGTGGCAACTCAATGGCAACACAGCCAACAGCCCTGGGATGGTGGCTGCTGTGCATCAACACCCTTCATCTTGAGACTCTCAGCTTTGATTCATTCCCTAATCCTGCTCACATTGCCCCAAAAGAGAAAGCAGCAAAGCTCAGTGCTCCTGTTCCTCTGTAGCCTTTTCCATAGAAATGCCCTTTGCAGTCTCCATTGCTTCACTCTCCCCACCTGTCATGTCACTGAACTCCAAGCCAAGCCAAGTGAAGATTCTCAACCAGAATGAGTGTTACAAGCTGCGTTACAGGTTCCCTCCAAGGTTTTAAGTCAGTCTTTCTTGGAGTATGGACTGTCCCTGTTGCAGCAATCAAGACAGAAAGAAGGCAAACATTAGAGTCACAGCAGAGCTGAGCTGCAGATTTTAAGTTCACAGTTAAGAAGGCTGGAACATCAGATGTCTTTATCATGCCAAAACTCCATGGGATTGCTGAAGCAGGAGAAATACAGTTGTTCCTGAATACTGTCATGTGGAGGAAATTCAACTGTGGGCCTTCAGTGTGATGGCTTGGAAGAGATACAAAAGCATATTTATGAATTTGTCATCCAAAACTGGCTTCAGACACTGTAACTACAGAAATGTTTTTGTGAAAAGCCATACAGTGGCCAAAATCACTTCAGAGCTAGGCTGGAAGATATAAAATAATCGTGGTGAAACAGCTTGGCTTTGGAGTGATGAATTACTCTCACCCCAAACCTTCCAAACAACTTCCATACAAGTTGGAAAAACCAATTTCCTTCCAACATCATATTCTCTGTAAAAAGAACAGAATCAGTCTTTGGGTCATATGGACAGTGCTACACAGACACAAGATTCCTTTGATTTACCTCCAAGCATCCCTGTAATGAATAAAACTGTATCAAAAGGTGATTACTGCTTTAGCCAACATGACTTTTTAAAAAACATATCATAATGCCTTCCTGTGTGATACTCTGCTTTGAAAATTAGCTGGGGTAAAAATTTGCTTTGGATAGACTGAAGTAGAATAATGCAGAAATCTGTATCATTGAGAGAGAAGCAGTCCTACTAATGCCAATTTTATTTCCATTCATTAAGAACTAGACTACTCTATGATCCTAAGCTGCTTTACATTGCAGTGGAAATGGTAATTTCTACAGAATCAGATAGCTGTGAATATGCTTTTATTTATTATTACTACTTTAAAAAGATAATGCTTTTCTTATTTTTATAAATTTTTACTTAAGTACAACAGTAAAAAAATTGATGGGGAAGTTCCACATTTTTCATTCACCATTACTTTTTTAACAGATAATACAGAAACAGAGTTAAAGGAAGATCCAGACCTGACCTCATAGACCTCATCAATACTGGGTAAAAGAATTTAGTGTTTCTTGAAGTCAACACCTGTTAAGGGATAATATTTTTAAATTTTTGGCTGGGGAAAGGAGAGATGAAATATAATACTGAATGTCAGAACGTGCCAGTGCTTTAGTTGTGAATTATTTTATGTGTCTTAGTTCTCACATATATCAGATGTTTTGCACTTTCTTATCCAAATACTATATAAAGCACACTGTGTTCAAATTTTTAAGGAAGTCCTATAAAAATGAGGCCTAAAATGTATGATGATAATCACATACCTCAGAAGCAGAGCAACTGAAAGCTGAAGGAATTAGTGTTTATGAGAAGCTCTGACATGGTTGTGTGAAAAAGCATTATTATTCCTGGTAACACACAGATATTTCCAAATCATGATTGAGAAGGAAAGCTCTTCACTGTGATTGCAGTATTGTCTGAGCTTGGGACACTCAGTAAAACTGTGATGACAAACCAATCTCCTTTAAGAGTTTTCTTTTCTTTCTTTTCATAAATTAAACTTCTATGAAAAGCCTAGTTTAATTTACAATGCCCAAATGTAGCCGTGGAAAGGGGTTTTAACCCTTTAAGTGCAGCAGAAATAAGATGCACAGCTACATGGTCGTCTGTCATGACAGGAAGAAAGAGCCAAGTTTATTCACAAACACACTTGGTTTTATAGCATGACTGCAACTCCCAGAGTAGAGAAAAGGTGATTGGTTCAGAGAGAAGACACCCCATTGCCAGGGCCTGGGCACACACCACAACAGGGGTTCTATCTTTGTTATTAATTCCTTTTTATTTTGACCAAATTATCACCCTGGGAGAAATTCTCCCTAGCCTTGATCTGGACCAGCTCATGGGCTGGGAACAGAGCTGAGAAGCTTCAGCCTGGAATATTTTTCAGGCTGTAATTTTCTTACTTTCTCAATATGTGTGCCTACACCCAAATGTCCAAATCTTTTTCTTACTCTATTTTTAACATCACTTATTCCTAAAAATCATGTTTTTGTGATGGTGGAAAGCAATGTTAGCAATGCTATCACATCACCAAATCTTAAATGCTGACCCACATGGTTTGGAGAAAACGGTGTTACTTCTTTGCATTTCAGTGTTTTGGTAATACTGAAACCCAAATATCTTCCTTATTATGCAGTGTTTGATAATTCAGCAATATGATTTGATTGGTATAAAGTTAAATGGAGCATTGGTTAGGGGAGCCTGGAGCCTGTGGGTTTCATTCCTGGCACCATCTAAGTTTTTGGAGCTGAGGGACAGCCTTGTCCCTCCATCCCTACAGCATGAACACAGCCCAGGACACAGGAGGAGACATCAGGACAATAAAATGATGTGGTAGAAAATAGCAGGAGCTGACAAATCAGCATCCCAACTGTCTGTGCCCTGAGCACTACAGGCACAGCAATGGGGGTCTTCTTAAATCACTGAAGTCTGTGTTGGAGGTATTTGTCATAAAAATGAATGTGGCAGGATAAAATATATTAAAGGAAAAACTTTGATTCATCATGAAACACACTGCAGCCAGTGAGATATAAAAAAACCATGTCACTTGTCAATTAAAGGTCACAGAAATGTTGCCTGAGCAGTGGCTGCACAATTTGATGCTGCAGTGGTTAAGAGTTTTGGATGCTTTAGGCCATCCACTGAATTTATACTAAAATAAATATTTGTTCTAAATCCTGACAGAAACCACTCAAGCACACATTTAATCTCATCTTTATTGGGAGCAATATTCAGCTTCTGCATGCTTGCTGAATCTAGGCCTAAAGAACTGGAAAATATAATACAAACTGCTCATAGTTGTAATAAGACACAAGTTCAATAAAACTAACTTACTTTTTTATTTTCTCTTACCTAGTCAGAAGCTTCCCGTTCTGAGAAGACCCTGCTGGGCCTGTCCAGAGCTGTGTATTATAATTGTATAAGAGAAGTATCTTCTATACAAACACTTTTATACTATTAGATAGAAATGTCTACTTTTTCAGCAGTTCTGTGAATTGACCTAAATCAAAGAATAACTGTAGATTTGGAATGTCTGCGTTTTCTTTGGAATATATTTTGAGGACTAAAATGCATTGCTGCAGCAATGCTGGGGAGAGACAGGGATTAAAATCAACAGGGACTTAACTGAGGCTGTCTACAGTTTCCAGTAAAGGTGAATTTTACTGTACCTGAATGCATCCTACCTTTTGTAAGGAAAAATTCCTGCAAAGAGTTCCGTTTGTTTACTTCGGAGGAAAAAACCTCCACATTAGTTTTCAGCATTAATTTAATGGCTCATTGGACAATAGTATCTGTATATTTGAGCTAATTTTTCCTGTTTTATCTATCACAGTTTATATGTTTTTCCTAAATAAAAGATAAACTGGTTCACTTGATGGTTAGTGTGCATTATTGAGATTGGCTGTGCATGGTTTTGGAAACCAACTGAAATTAAATTCCATCATAGTCTGTACTGTACAGTTCTGGCTATATGATAATCTCTAAAAATGCAGATTATTCGTAAAGGTTTCTCTTTTACTGGAGTGAATTTGAGATGATTGCATTATGCACAAATGAAAAATCATATTCCCTGGTGAAGAAATAGAGACCTTTCTGATGTTTTTCATGACTGTCCATGCAGTATGCTGTTATGTCTTTTACAACAAATCAAGTCCTAGCAGTAATTCTGTAGGCAGGTGGAACATGCTGCAGCATGGTTATTTCCTGCCAGCAAAGAAGTAAGGTTCAGTCATGCCTTTGAGACTGAATCCAGCTCTGAGTGGGTCATGTGGTTATATCTTCAATGAAAATTTTAAGCCTTAAATTCAATTGAGTGCAGTGTCTGTTCCCTGGGAGCAACCTGAAATTCAGCAGCTAAATTCAGAGCAGCATGCTTCTGTCATTCTGGACATTAGGGAGATCTTGTGTTTCACAGCATGCACATCTAGATGCTCCCACTTCAGTACTGGGACCTTGGTGCTGGAGATGTCAGCAGGGGCAGGGTTAGCTCCATGCTGAGGCATTTTGAAAAGCTCATCCTGGTCCTGTCTTCTCTCCAGACAGGAGCTGGTGGTGGCTGGTGCCATGCTGCCTTCCTGCCTCAGCAGACAGCTGTTCCCAGCTGTTCCCAGCCCCATGGAGTGAGTCCAGCTGCTGTCCCTTACCTGTTAACCCAGCCATGTGGGCACTGTACACATGATAACCACCAACACATTTGCCTGCTGCTCACTTGAACAGACTTGCTGAGCTAATGAACCTCCAGCAGTACTTTGGCACCAGGTTTCACATTTGCTTCTGGACACATTTAGAATGGGGAAATGAGATAATGCAGCTTTCCCCAGGTTTCAGCTGGCTTGACTTCCCCTTCTGAAAAAGCTGGATGCTTCATTCCTTTACTCACAGCCCTTTTTAGGAGGCACTTGTAGCACAGCTGCCTGCCCAGGGTCTATTGCAGTGGAGTCATTACTGCTCACTCAAAATGAGGGCAGTGTCTCAGCAAAGGAACTGGGAAAATTAATTCCAGGGTATTGCCTTGTCAAGTGTGGAACAGCACAGTGGTTCTACTGAAACTTAGTATGCAGGAGCTGAAAGAAAAATGAAGTGAAAGTGTTTGCAATGGTTTTGCTGGAAGGACTGAAGTCTTTACATGGTGCATCACGAATGGTCTGCTGCTGGCTGGGCAGTAATGCTGATGGGTGTGTTGGCACTCAATGCTCAAGGCTCTTTTTGGTCTCAGACATTTTGAGTTGTATCCAGTTGAGAAAAATTAGTCTGACAATTACAGCAATATTTATACCTTCCAAATACCAATTCAATATTAAGAAATTACCTATATTCCTAACAGTTAGCAGACTTTTAGGATGTTCACCATGTATGAAAATCTCACTCATTTTCAAACTAGTAGTACATGAGATACGCCCTAAAAAGCCTTGGCTGTACTAATAAATAAATGAGTAAATGAAATTCCAGTAACTTACAAGAGCTCTGACTAGTTGTTGTCCCAGCAGGGAAGGTTTGTGGTGACAAAGAAGCAGACAGGTATTTTTTTTCTCATGTTTTACTGAACTTTAAAAGCCTGTCTTGTGCAGTGGACTGGCTCCTTTCTCTTAAATGGGAATTTTGGATCCAAGTAGTGTAGGATTCAGGGTGTCCATGGTGGAACTGGGCATTCCTCAGCTATGGCACCATGGCTTTTCTCACAGCATAACCACCAGCTGAGGGCCAGTATCTCTGTGATGCAGTTGCTGGCCAGTGTTCTTCTCTTGGAAGTTGGAGTTTCCCACATATAAAATTTGAACTCCTTCTTCTTTGTTTCTTTTCATGTCTGTCCTGTCAGAGACCGACAGCCAAGAGGGGGTCAGGCTGTCATTTCTGTCATCGTGTAACAGCTGTCTGCTATCAGTGACATAAGAAAAGCCTCCCTTGGCTCTGTAATAAATTAAGCTGAAATTTAAACTACTAAAAATCAAAAATATCATTTTGAACGAAGATTAGGGTGGCATTCCTTCCATCCACTCTTCTATCCCGAGAGGTTTTGGTACTAGTTTTGGGTGGATCAGTGCCAAAAAGAGGATAGTCCATTTGCCTAAGAAACTCTTAACCTTCAGCATTCCATCTTCATCAGCCTTGACTGAAATCCATCCTCTGAAGTCTTATGTGAGCTGTTCCCACTCCAAAGCAGTGGGGTCTTGCTGAGGGCACTGCTTCCAGCTTGGTCTGAAGGACCTGGATCTTCTCCATCCCTCTCAAAATGTGTTCAGATCCGAGCCTTGTTTCCCAAAACTTGAATCAGTTCATGAACTCTAAACTTGCATTGTGGCTTGACACTGGCCCGATGCCAGGCACCCACAAAAGTCATTCACTTTCCCTTCCCTGCCACAGCTGGGCAGAGGAGAGAGAAAAATTCAATGAAGGTTTCATTAGTTGAGATAAGGACTGGGAGAAAACACTCTAAGGGCAAAAACAGGCTCAATTTAGAGATACAAAGTGAATTTTGGCTTAGAGATACAAAGTAAATTTGTTACTAACAAAATCAGAGGAGGATATTGAGAAGTAAAATAAGTCCTTAAAAACACCTTTTTTCCCCAACCCCTCCATCCTTCCCACTGACAGCACAGGGAGCCAGGGCATGGGGATTTGGTCAGTTCATCACTGAGATTTTCTTCTGCTGCTCAGGGAGAGGAGTCCCCTGTGAGACCGTGGGGTCCCTCTCACAGGAGACACTTCTCTGTGAACTTCCCCAGTGTGGTTCCACTCTCATGAGCAGCAGCCCTACTGCTACAGCATGAGTCCCTCCCACAGGCACACAGCCCTCCCAGAGCTGCTGTGACATGGCTCACTCTTTCCATGGGCTGCAGTCCTTCAGGGACAGGCTGCTCCAGCCTGGGAGCAGAGACCCTCTCTCCACTGGGTCTCCCACTGGATCACAGCCTCCACCAGACATCCACCTGCTCCAGCGTGGCCACCTCCCCCATGGGCTGGATCTCTGCATCCCTCATGGATCTCTGCATCCCCAT